TTTCAGGTCCTCAAGGAGTATGACATTCCAGATGTCTGCTCCTTTCTGGAGCTTGACATGCAGAGTTTCCTATAGTCAGGTTTCATGATTCAGTATTTTTTTACGCTCCCTTCTCGCTTTTTCCTCCCTTTTTACCTGGAATAAACACTCCTCTAATTTATGTTTTGCCAGAGCATCATCTACCATGCACTTTTCTTCCTGGGAGTCCTTTGTCGCGTTGGTTCCATGAAGTATTTATAAATTCGTTTATCAAACTGTGCTGCTTTTGATATCCCGGAGCCCTGAGCTGTTCGATAATGGTGACAATTTTGACAGATGTGTCTTATGTATTGATCTATATTTTGTAATTGAGGAAGAAAGATGATCCAACATTCATTTGGTTCACTTACTGTTTGACAGGAAACCCTCCCCTCTCAGGCAATGTGTTTGATGTCAACATTGAGATTATCATTAGCTGTTAGCTTAGTTAACTCTCTTCTTTGAGCAAACATAAGATCTTTTTTATTTATTTTTTAATGAAGCTGTGCACTTGTTTATCCTCTCTTAAATCTGAATGAATTATTTGGTTTAGCATGAAAAAAGACTAGCCACATTTCTATTATCCAATGTTTAGGTAAGCTAAACCCAAAACCAAAATTAATGTTGATTAAACATAAGAAAGCTAGAGAATTAATAGAGGTGGTTTGATTCATCATCATCAGTGTTAGGGCCTGTTTGGATTGGCGTTTGGCTTATGACTTATAAGCCATAAGTTAGGATTTCTAACTTATGGCTTATTTTTGTTATTTTGGCTTTAAAATAAGTGCTTATAAGTACTTTTTAATTTTACCCAAACATTTTAAAACTGCTTATAAGTTATTTTGGCTTAAAAGCACTTAAAACAAGTCAATCCAAACTAGCTTGTACTTAAGTATAACCTTTATAAAGCTATTTAGATGTAATTAGCTATATGATTTAAGTTATAATTATATTCTTTTCGTTTTAAAAAGAATTGACCTAGTTTGACTCGATATGAAGTTATATAAAATATAGAAAACTTTTCTATTTTGTGGTTGAATATTAAAGTTATATCAAATGCCCTTTAATCTTGTGACCTTACATGTCACATGGAAAGGTGAAACTAAAATGTTGTCAATAAAGGAAATGGGTCATTCTTTCCGAAACATACCAAGAGCCTGTTTGGATTGGCTAAAAAAAATAAAATAGCTTTTAAGCAAAAAAATAAAAAGAAGGGAGAGTCTTACTTTTTTTTCCTTTTTTTAAATAGTTGATCTAAACTTACTTTAAGTTATTTTTAACTTTGTCATACATTCCTAGAAGCTAAAATGACTTAAAAGTATGTTTGATCAACTTTTAAGTCAATCCAAGCAGGCGGTAAAAGAGAAAGTAGGTTATTCTTTTTTAAATGGAGATTCTAGCCAACTGAAAGGATCTTCTGATCAATCCAGAGATCATTTGGGAGATAAATATCAATTAGAAAGTCTAAGACGATCCAAAAAGCACTTGATCATATCATGATCTGATTTGTAAGCCTACTTGGGTCTTGAGGTTTGTGCACCAATATTCGCCATAAAAGGACTGAGCCATAACAAATGAGAAGTTATCCGACTCAACTCCAACATATGACTTTGGTATAGCTAGCCCTTTTAGGTATTTGAATATTGCCTAATTGTCTAGCTTTTTATAGTCGAGTATTGTATCCTTTGCTTTGTTATTATATTATTTGGTACTGTTATTGTTCCCTTCTCTATTATTTTTAACATGATTTTTTCGTTGTATTTCCTTTTCAAACATGTTTTGAATTGCTTTATTTGAGTCGAGAATCTTTCTTTTATTCAAATGATAAATATTCATCGAAAATCGTTATTTCTCCGTATATAAAAAAAGAGATATTGTATGTCTAGGTAGAAACAAAAATACATTATTTTAAAAATGCTGGCATCACAGCTTCTATTAGAACTTTAGCAAGTTTTTTATTAACATGTTGTTTCACCTACTTTTGTCGATTTAGAAATTATAGCCATCTACGATTAAATTATATAATTTTAAATTATATAAACTAACGGATAATATAATAAATTCTTTCATCGCAAGTGTAGTTTTAACCTATTATAACGAATTACATCATTTTACTTTAGGTTACCATTATCAATGCTATTAAAAAAGAATTACCCACAGTGACATTTTATCGTGAAGTAATAATAAACCTAGCATTTAAATTTTTTTATATTATCATGTCACGTTTTTCTGCAGTAGCAGGTAACTTAAATCTGTCTTCTCTTTAAAAATTACAAGTCTCACTTTATACACAGAGTGACCTAACTATATAGTACGTATATCTTTTAGGTGATCTACTAGTGTATAATCTTTTTTCACATTGTTGGTGTATAAGTCAAAAACTCTACCTCAACTACACATTCAAGTTTTTCTATTCCGTTATTATCTCCATTTTAATCCTGTGAAGTCAAGATTTTCATTAAGAGAGTTCGAATAATAAAAATGCAGTTCCTTTTAACCCTTAAATCATTGGGCCAATCTGTACTCTTGTATTTAGGAGATACTAAAAATAAAAAATCTTAAATATACAGTGTAATCTTTTGGCGAGGGTTTCCCCTCAGCCACTCCTAGATCCGCCCTTGCCTACTTTGATTACTTCCTTTGAGCTGAGATCCAAAATATACCAGTAAGTCTGCATACATCCTACCCTTCACAGGCTCCACTATTACACAGAGCTTCTTCTTGTTGTTTTATATAAAGCATTGCCAACTTTTTAGACAAATAGATCTCATCTCTCTAGCCATGGAGAAAAAAGTAGAGATAATATCACAAAATTTGATAAAACCTAAAGTTAGTCATATTGAATCCTTCAATTTTTCAGCTCTAGATCAACTTTCCCCCCTTCCTCACTATCCAATTTTTCTATACTATCCACATGATGATCAAGAATCAACCAACATATCAACAAAATCCCAACAACTAAAAAATTCATTATCCAAAATTCTATCTGGTTTTTATCCCTTTGCTGGTAGATTAATCAATGACAACACTTCAATAAGTTGCAATAATCATAATAATGATGATTTTGGTGTATTATTTATTGAAGCTTTTGCACATAACTACAACCTTCAAGAAGACATTCTTCTCTCAGGCATTAAAACAAACACTTGTGGACACTTTGTCCCAACACTTGATTCGCTATTGCAAACTCATTTGTTGATTGTTCAAGTCACATTCTTTGAATGTGGAGGCATGATTCTAGGTTGTTGGGTTTCTCATAAGTTATCCGACGCTACGTCTATTTCCACTTTCATCAATAACTGGGCATCTACTGCTCGAGGAGGAGCAGTGGATGCCCAGTTATTACAGACCCCTGATTTTAAAACAGGGGTCAAAGTCTTCCCACCAACCCAAAAACCCCCTCCATCACCATTTACTAATCTTGTTGTTAATGAACAACAACTCGTTTCGAAGATCTTCTTGTTTGATGGACCTAGCATCGCGAATCTCAAGACTAAAGCTTTATCTAAGGATGTACCTAGCCCTACGCGTGTTGAAGTTGTGTCAGCTCTGATATGGAAATGTGTGACTGTCTCATCTAAAAGTAGTTATAGTACATCTTACTTGTCACATGTAGTCAATGTTAGGAAAAGACTTGTACCTCCCTTGCCTAATGGGACTATAGGAAATTTTCTTGGCTTTTCATTGTGTACTAAAAGTGAGAGAGACATTAATGAGTTACCAAATCTAGTGACTATAGTTAGAAAAAGTTTATTAGAGTTTCCTTATAGTAAAAATGGCACAAAGAGTTTAAATTGGGATGTGGCTTTAGATCCCATAATTGAAAATTGGAAAATGATTGGAGATATTTTATCAAGAAGTAGTGATATTGAGTTGTATCATTTTACTAGTTGGTGTGGTGTGCCATTTTATGAAGCAAATTTTGGATGGGGGAAGCCAAAATGGATGAGTATTATGGAACTTTACTCAAAGAATATGATTTTGCTCATGGATTCTATAGATGGTGGGATAGAAGCTTGGATTTGTTTGGAGGCAAAACATATGTTAGAATTTGAACAAAATAAAGATGTACTAGCTTTTGCCACCATTAAATAAACAATTATGTGTTGGTAGGGAGCGCTTCCCCCTTTATGGCAAATCCTTTCAAAACTGGTTAAGAATGAGAGCTGATATTCCAGTTTGAATCCAAGTATTATGTTGTTAGTTTAAATATGATGCTTGTTTTGATTGTTACTTATTGTTAAATCGATTAGAATGTAACGATGAACAGTCTCGTTTTATGTAATGTTTGATTTGGTGTGATCACATTGTTGCCTTTTTTTGTTTGATCATTTTATCTTTACTCATAATCTATTATCTTATTTTGCCCTTTACTCTACATTTTATAATAGCTCTACTCTGTATCCTTTAATCCTTCAAATTGTTGATGTGTGATATTATGTAACGACTATAAATGATATAAGCAATATATTTGAATGTTGTATTCGTCAAATCGATACAATGCAAATCACATCATTATCCCTATTTTTCGCGCTCTTGTTCCATCTCAATACTTGCACCTTAGCCATAGTTGATATATGTGAATCAAAAATCAACCTAATTTTCTTTTATATTGTAACAAATCGTGTGTTTGCATTTGAAGATAAATTCTGCACTATCAATGTACGTAAGTTAAATCCGTTCGAGCAAATTTTTAATTTTTTACTATACATAACTGATTGTCAAACAATGATCCGTTAACCAAATTAATATCAACATGTATTAATACACACGAAAAATGACCATACTTGAAACAATTTTTCCAACGGTTTGCTTGATATTTCTCAGTTTGGAAGGAGTGAACCACCTAAATCAGCAGACTGATGAAGGTAGTTAGTATGTACGCAAATTTTATCATCCCTACCTTCACGAGGTAGGGAAGTTGTTTCTAATAGACCCTCGGCTCAAGAAAAGAAAGCTTAAAGAGAAACTATGAGCAAGAATTCACCATTACCGTTCACTTTGTATTTTGTGGATTCAACTCCATATCAAAGATAAATATCAACCAAAGATCCAAAATTTTGTTACTATGTTACATTAAAAAAAAATGAGTCACTTGCCACAAGTAAAACATCTAAATTTTTGGAAGGCATCACAAATTATGCAAATTATATGAGGCAAAATGGGAAGGGACCAAAATTTTCATTTTATTAAGACTGCGGCAAAAATGTTGTCAGCCCCTCGAGTTCAAATGACTGGTTGACTACAGCGAAAACTATCTGCAGTCTGCTCCAACAGCTTCATGGACTGACTTGTAACCATCCTTTTCTAAGCAATGCGCGAGTTCAGCCTATAGAAAGAGACAGTGTTGCAATACGTGAGCAGAATGTTCGTTAATCTACAAGTGAGAGTAGAAATAAAGAAAGTGATATCATCGCAAGAAGAGAGCAGAATATGTTTTCGTTTGCAGATGAGAGCAGGAAAAAATGTAACTAGGTTAGTGGAAGATTAAGCGGCTCGTATTTATAGCAGCAGTGTATCTCAAAAAGGATTAAAATTGGAGTTGAATGTGCACTTTCCTCAACAATCCTGAACTTCACAAAGTAAAATCAAAGACAATCCTGTGCAAAAGTTACAGCCATATCCGGTGAATCCATCAAGTATTTAAGTTTAGTAGGGATAAAAGAGATTGTTCTATGCCAATTTCCAGGTTAAAGACACAACACTATGCGTGCGATGTAACAGGGTGGAGTGTCTGCAAAAGATACTACAGCACACGCACAAAAGCACCTAAAAAGAAGGGGGTAGGAACCACTTAAAACTTGAGTTTCTTGAGCTAATGGGACCTCAAAGCGGAAATTCAGACTTTCGATTGATTTACCTAATGCTTGATGTCATTCTAGTCTTACGAAATAGGAGATGGATTATCAGTCAGCCGTGTGGTTATATTTCAGTTCTCCATGGAGTAGCACACATATACCTATTACCTCGTGCATGATATATGGAGAGCACACATATACCTATTACCTCGTGCATGATATCAACATGGTATATACCTATTCCCTTATCCCTCTTCTTCTGCTGGCACCATCGGCCCTCACAGCCAAAAGAGTAATAGAAAGGATCTCTCCTTCTTTACACCTTGTAGCTAATCATGATTCTATGAATAAACTTTTTATGTCTATACTACCTAAAAGAAAAACTTAAAGCAAAAAAAAAAAAAAAAAAGTCCCAACTTGAAAATCTGCCTCGATCCCATGAATGAGAGGCAAGAGGACTTTTGAAATGCATGTTGGGATATCTGTTAGAATCAGGCTGTCAGCTTGTACCATATTTCTTCAGTACTTCGTATTATTTATAGAAACTCTAATGAAAGAATATATGACAGATATTCAGAACTTATTGAGCATGACAAACCAATACCTTTATATTGGGGATAAGTGCAGGTCCTCCATATCCAAATGCTGTATAAAGCTGAACAAGAGTCGCACCAGCTCGAATTTTTTTGTAAGCATCCTCGCCGCTGCAAGAAATGCATATTTCAAGTATTCAAAAATTTACCAGAATATCTAATGAAAGATGTAATACTTGTTATAATCATGGACGAGGGAGTGGAGTACCTGCTAATACCTCCACAACCAATCAAAGGAATCCTTCCCTGTTAGAACAAACACATTGAGGTTATCTGTTTCATCAAATGAAGAAGAACAGAAGATATTCTTTTTGTCCTTACAAAATGAAAATGTTTGGCAACAGTGAGTCACAATCATATGCTGAGGATACGAATATAGCGAGGGACAGAAGTGAACAGAGCAATATGCAGATAGTTTACACCTCAAACAATCAGCAAAAGCATGAGCAGCGGAAAAGTTAACAAAAAATATAAGAATACAATATATCATACTCAATAGAACAATAAATACTTGAAGTTGTACTCCATAGATACCAATTTTATGTAGTTAAAGTAAAAGGAATCTGTGTTATTTCTATAACAGGGAAAATTACAAAAGAAAATTGAAGAAAAACTTTTTTTTAGGAGAACATTGACATGGATCAATTTAAATACAGTAACAAGACACAGGGAGGACCAAAAGGAACCAATCCACCTGTTCCACTCCAATTTGATAACTAGCACTGTGCACATATTCCTGATACAATGGGACAGTACACATACCTTAGTCAGAAGGTACATCTCCTTCAGTATATTTGTTGACATATTAAAGAGTGGCTTCCCACTCAAGCCACCAGTCTCTTGAGCCACAGGGTTTGGACTTACTGAATCTGGTCTTTGGATTGTAGTATTTGATATAATCTACAAGCAAAGCATAGCATACAATGTCGGTATTTAATGTTAAAAAATGAAATGTTTCGTGGAATGTAGAGGTCAAACATGAAAATAAGGAAAGCATAAAGCACGCCATCCATATTCGCGCTCTCTGCATTTTATTTCTGCTATCTTTTCTTTTGAGGAGTAAGGGATGAGAGGGGAGGGAATGCTCCTACCAAAAGTTATTTCTTCATGGATAGACACTTAGCATTTGAAACAATGAGAATGGCACAAGAAATTAATAAGAAATGATTCACACAAAAACATTGATTCCCACTAACTTAATGTTTAGCTCGATGCCTGAAGCAATCATGATGGCAAATGCAACTTGTTGGAGGAAATTACAATATCTAGATAACAAAGCTTTGTTTCTTTCTTTTTTTGTGGCTAATACATCATTATTTCTCATTGGTGGGGATTGGCAACATCTTGGTGTCAATTTCATGAAAATCCTGATCCATTATCTATAGAAAAGCCAAGATCATAAAAGTATAAATGTGAATATTATAGTACAAGTGATCAGTTGCTCAGCTTTTAATAATTATTTGAGGATATATTAAACAGTGAACCACAGAACCCCAAGTCCCAACATGGAATAAACTGTTGGTCATATAAGCTCAATGTCACAAACCAAATAGCTTTTCCTTTCTGGATAGGTATAAGTCAAAAACTAATTAGATATTGTCATCATGAATCTCCCAACACCAAAGTGCTGCTTGAAATCCAACACTAAAGGGACTTACTTTAACTTATTAAAAAATGCAAAACAGAATACGAAAGTTTTCTATCAAACTGTACCAGTCCGTCCACACGAAGAGCAAGAGCCACCTACAATAGTACAAAGAGAACAAGCCATAAGAACAAATCAACAACTACTAAACCCGATGTTGCTCGGACTCTTCAAAAATGTCAAAAGGTGTGTTGAATTCTCCAAAAGTAGTGTAATTTTGGAGGATCGGACACAGATGCGGCATCGAAAGTGAAGAGTCCGCGCAACTCACATTACACCTCAATCTCAAGCTAGTTTACATATGAGTAGAAATGCTTCCATACCGCTGCAATATCTTCAAGATCTTGTTTGGACAAATCTGGAGCAATTTTCACAAGTAAAGGCGGAGGTCCTTCCTCACCCCACTGCATTTCATCACGAGCTGCCTGAATCTAAATAAAGATACTGAAAGGACTTAATCCAATACTTGGTGATATCGTATTAAATATTACCATAGGTAAACTAGAACAATGAAACAGAAAGGCATCAGGCAAAAACCTTCTTCACAAGATCCTTTAGTTGCTTTCTTCCCTGAAGTTGGCGTAGTCCTGGAGTATTTGGGGATGAGATATTAATTACCTAAAGCAGTAAAGGAGACTATGAATCAGTCTTATAAACAATACTAGGGACGCGTCTCCGGAAGCTGGAAGAGAATGTCTCTTTTCATCAAGAGAATTAACTTTAGAGAAAATTTACCGAATTGTTCTCAGACATACAATTACTATGTTTTGTTTTCTCCTCTATCAAATGATGAAATGGAATATGAAATTTCTAGAAACACCACATGTAAAATATCAGAAGATAAAACAAACACAGAAGAGCTTATGAAATTTTGTCTGTAATTCTTTCTTTGGAGTGTGTGTGTGTGGGGGGGGGGGGGGGGGGGGTTTCCTGTCCCTTCGGGCTG